GCTAGTTGAAAGTTGCTAAGAGTTTCTAGAACCTAGATGTTCTCACCACAAAAATACGAAAGGTAATGATGTGCTATAATGGAGGTGTTCCCTAAGGCTATGGTGGCCCATACTTTATTTTGCAATATGTAAGTACCTAAATGACCACCTCATCCACCTTAATCTTACACATGGTTAGGTATCTCAATAAAGTTGAGACGAAAAGAATGTAAAAAGACGGCTCCTCCTTCCACCCCAAACATGGTCCTCCTCCAGTGTGTCCCACCATCCAGGGGCTATCACCGTCTGTGGCCTTCAACTCCCCCTGCTCCTCAGTGCCAGCATCTCACCCACCAGCTGGATTCCCTTCTGCTCTATTCCCTCCCAATCATCCTCCTTGCTATCAACTTCACATGAGGCAAACAATCATGCCCAGTCATCGTTTCCCACCATGGCTAGGACCACACACCAAATCCTCACCATATCCTGCCTCAGGCCACTCTCCCTGGGCCTTCCCCACCTGCACCCACAGCCGCCTTTCTGCTTCTCTCACAAGCCAAGCTCTTTTTCCTTCAGGACCTTCATAAGTGTTTTTCCTTCTGCCTGGAATGCCCTCCCACACCCCTCATCCCTTCTCCCGTACTTCACCCACAATCAACGCTTCAAATCTCATCTTAAATGCTATTTCCTTGGGGGGGAGGGAGGGTTGGGGGAGAGAGGGGCACGCGTGGGGATTATCCAGGCCTCTCATCCTCCCCGGCTTCTCAGTGGAAATCCCATCTCCCTGTTCCCACCCTCATGGGTCCTGAACTCCTCAGGACATCTGGGCTTCCTACACAGGTAGGGGCTGAGGTGGTTTGCTGGGCCTCAGCATCAAGTACCCAGCCTCCCAGCACCACCAACTGCCCACAGGCATCTAGCCAAGTCAAGTAACCCATCAAAAATATTGACTTGATGCTATTAATTGCAAATAGATGCCCCGCCCCATCCCAAAATCTTCAGAAAGAAAAAGTGGAAGGCTGGCCGTGCCCTCAAAGTCTACTTGGAAAATACCCGCACAGACAGCAGAGACCCTTTCAGAGGCTGTACACACCACCTGACATCCCCTCAGCGCTTTCTGTTTGCTTCCGGTATTGAAGCAGCAACAAAAATGTCCAGCACGGCAGCACGGCCAGCTTTGTTACTTGGGATTCACACTGCTGTCTTATCCTGCACCATGCCCATGACACAACAAGACACACAAGACCAAGAACTACTAGAAATCCACCCCAAGGTAACAGGCCACGTCGACTTCAAAAGGAAACCCCGAGATAAAATGGCAAGAACTTCTGAAGCCTTCTGCTGTTTTGTAAGACACATTCTACACCAAAATACCACCGTTTTCGGTACAGAATCTTTTCTTGCCCAGTACAAAGGAAGTTAAATGAAAGTCTCTGTCAGGAAAGACGTCGAAGCTGGCGTCTGGGGAGCGGTCCTTACTCCCTCAGCTACCAGCCTCTAGAGGGCCGGAGGGACAAACCTCACCACTCAGCATGACCCAGCTGCTCCAGACTGGCTTGAGAAGGGGGAAGGAAGAGCAAAGGAATAAGGATACACATCTTTAAAACACCACAGAGAAGGAGATATGTGACTCAGAACATGGGGCTGGGCAGGCTGGCATGGAGAGAGGTTCTGGAATTGAGGGAAAAAACATGGATTTCTGGGGGTTGTGGAAGGAAATAAGCAGGAGAAGAGAGGTGGGTGGAAAAGGATCTGTTGTGTAAGTTCCTAATTTCTTGGCCAGTTGAAAAAAAATCAAGACATCATCCTTAGAAATAATTTCCTCTCTCTTCTGCACATAGACTAGTAGCTCTGGGCCATCATGACCTGACATTGCAACAGTTACAGAAACTGAAGTGCGTGGGACCTGCCTTCATTTAAATATGATTTAATCAACTGAACTGCACTTGTTAAACAGTATTTATTCCATTTTTTATAATGTGGTAACCCACATACCACATGGCTAAAAAACCCAACAGGATTAAACTATTCCACCAAAATGCTTTAAATTCCCATGTGAAATTTCTGCCCCAAAGGAGCACCAGAGAAAATTCTTTTCTTAGTAAACTTGTGATACTTAAAAGGGTCTAATGATTACTAGCAAACACTGATCACTTCTCTCTTTTAAAAATAAAACATCAGAAATAATTAGGAAACAGCTTGGCCCCAAAATGATAATAAATCCAAAGTTCAGAGAAATTAGGAAGCAAGGCTTAGACAATTATTTTGAAACAAGTCTGATGAAACTCTGGGGTGTAACAAGGTTTTGTTTCAAAGAATAGAAAACAAGATGTGCAGGAGAGGCCCCCGAGTGTGGAGAAAAGTTAGTCTTCACCGGTGAGTGGGAACCAGAACCACACGGGCTTCTCTGGTCAGTGCAGAGTTGGACGAAATGCAAATGAGGTGTGACGCATGTGATGCAAAAATCTCACTTAACCAAAACAGAGACGCTTCTGGGTTGCCCTCGTCCAGGGAAAAGGTAAGTACAAATTCCACTGCCAACCTAGCTGTGTGACTCTGTAGTCCCCGAAACTATGTGTGAACAGATGAGCAAAAGCTCAACACCCGCAGTCTTTCTTCTCCCCTACTTTCCCATCTCCCTCCACTAACTGGCCATCCGCAGCACCCTCTCCTCATCCTGGCCTCAGAGCACAAAAACGCACAACCAGCTGACCCAGAACCAAAGACACGTTCAGCTGCCACAAGCAGGAAACAGTTCATGAATTTGGTTCCGTTGAGTTCAAGCTCCCGGCTCTTCTCCTCTCTCCAGCTCCCAGGGGCCCAGGAATGGGGCCAAAAGCACAAGAGGTGGGAATACAGCTGCCAGCTGAGGCTTCTTTGGACAAGGGGCACCATCCAAGGCTGGCAGTGTGCCCCCACGTGGTTGCTGCGACCAACACGCCACTTTCTAGTAAACAGCAAAGAGAACAGAAAACCTAAGACCCCTTGCTTCTCCTCTGGCCCAAATCCAGACTGGCTCTGCAGAAATGACTTACGACCTCCAAAATCAGGCACCCAGGCCTGAGCGGTAGCAACTGCTCTTGTAGGCTACCTGTGCTCTCTGAGCGCACATCTGCACTGCTGCACGGAGGTGAGCTCACCCATATGGCCTGCGAGCCACGCCCACAGGTGGGCCATTCTGGAGCTGTGAAGACCCTCATTTCTCATAAGACCCTCATACTCAGAGGAAGTAAAATTTCAAAGACAACATCGTTTCACTGAAGCTGAAAAAATACTATTTAATGTGGGCAGCCCTGGCAGGATTTCCAAATCAGAGAAACAAATGTCAAAGCCCAGGCTCACATTAGGAAACTGAGGGAGGCAGGAAAAATGACCCGGACAGGTTTCCTCATTTTACTCGAGGACTCTCACGAGGCTAACAAGCTTCTTTAAAATGTCTACCTGTTGCTAAAATACCTTCGTGGTGTGGCATCCACTTTTTGAGGAAACTGCATGAGCCACGAGTCAACTGAGTCTACACCTATGATACTGATGTCATGACCCAATTGTTAGCGCACAAAACAGATGCAGCCACAGGAGTCCTTTCTACTCTCTGGGGCATGAACACGGCACCAGGCCCGGGAAAGGGACAGAGAAATGGGTCCAGTCCTCACTCTGTCACTGCACGGTGTGTGACACTGGGTAGTTCACGGCACACCTGTCTGTGCCTGTTTCCTCTGGGCCTCGATGCTCTAAGGTCACTTCAGCCCTGAAATTCTGACATCACAAAAGCATGTGTCATTATCAGCATCCAGGGTACTGTAGGGTTGGAGCATGGTGGAAGCTTCTGAAAAAGTCAGTAATCTTCTATCTGCCTTGTTTATAACACTAAGAATTTATAAGACATTTTCACCAATGATGACTCAAGATGTGGTTTTATAAATATCAATTATGTGATCTCTACACACACATCCATGTGTTTAGTATTCATATAAGAGGCATAATTCATTAAACAAATAACGTAGTAAATTATAGCAAGCTACAAAATCAGGAGGCAGATGCCTGAGATTTGACATACCATCTTAAAGAGTTTTCTTCTTAAGGAAATTATTTTGCCCGTTTTAGAAACTGCAAGGAGCACAGAGGCAAAATATATTAAATGGGTAACATTCTGTGCAACTTAAATTAAAAATACATGAATGGTTTCCTGCTTTGCATACTTCTACCTGTCACGCACTATGAAAATGTGTCTTTCATAAACTATCTCAAAACTAAGAAGTTCAGCTCCTGGTACAAACATATAGGCAGACTAGTCTAATAAGGCTAAGTTATCTTCTCCAGAGGTTCATTTATAAATTCTACTTTCAGAATTCTACAAAATCCCAAGAAAGTGCATTAAAAATATATGTAGACACACACTATGATGTAGTCTCATAGCATTAAGACAAATGTTTCCTATATTAAACCCACACACTTTCAAACCCTTGGATGCAAAGATTAAATTTAAGCCATTCCACATTCATTTCCCACTCTAGGCTTACAATCAATCAGCCCAGATGGAACTTTTTGCATGTCAGTGTAGAAAGTTACTTCCCCACACATAAGAAAACTCGGGCTTACAGTGAGCATTGGTCAGTCTCAAGTGCAGGCCTTCCTTTTTGTGTTTCTACTCCTGTGTTTTATGACTCCCCACCCCTGAGTGAGGTTTTCAGGAAAGGGTTTGAGCCTTGTGTTAGTTTAGATTGCTTCAATACCATTTCCTGTCTCCCCAAAACACAGTGACTGTGCCCTCCAAGTTGAAGCCCAAAAAGCTCGGCTCTAATCCAGTACTGGGGAGATGTTGGTGAGAATGGGTAGGACATTTTCAGGTAAGTTACAGCCACTCAGGTTCAAGGACAGAAAACAAGTAGCTCACAGATATAAACGATATCGAGGAATGTTCCCCAAAATAATGCTATTTAAAAAGAAAAACTGATAAACAAGGCCTGTTTTCAACAAAGGTCTCCCCACGCCCCCCATAAAGGCAACAATTGGTCACTCACGACAATGTGTGCTGGGGATGGAGACCGGGCATCCTTGAGGGCCTGTCTGCTCTGGAGGGTCCCCGCCTGGACATCAAGTAGTGGCCATTTCATCTGAAGATACTGGAGGGAGGAAGCAAAACAACGTTGAGAGCAATGAATTTAAAAAACAAATGTGAAACTACTAGCCCGGGAGTCATCAGCAACTGAAATTCCCTCACAGCTTGGCTTCAGCCCTCAGTAAGATGGGAGTAAGAAGAAAGGGGGAGAGGGAAGAAGGGAGGGAACGCAGCCAACAGCAGATTCACGACAGAGAACGTGTCGTGACACAGGTAGGTGGGTCCCGTGAGTGACAGTACCATGGACGCAGGAGGCCATCATGCTGCATCTGCTCTTTCAGCAGCCTTCCCTTCTAAACACCAACCCCCCTTCAGCTTCAAGCAAGCAGACAGATGGAGGAGACCAGTAGAAGAGAGGAGAAGGGATGGAACTCCTCGCCCAACCCTACTGCTCACCACACAAAATCATTCCCTGATTAAAGATGCCCAAAACAAGACACAGTGCCCTTCATACACCCATCTTAAAGGCCAGAGAAATCCTTAGATATGCACGGGTTTACCACAGAGACGGACGCAAGGGTTAGCTTGCGGCACAAGGGAAGAAAAGGAATGACTGCTAGAAAAAACTTTCAGCGGGACTTGACCCATCGAGCAATCAGCTCCCCGGTGTGCAGAGAAAGGAAACTGAGGTAGGGTGGCTTGCCAGCTCACAGACATTTGCAGCAGATGCCTGCACAACTCCTTCAAATCTGACTTTTGTTGGCGAGATCACACCAGTTTCACTCAAGAAGTCTTCCAGCAAGCAAAGGAAATCTAGACACGATGAGGACTCCGAAAGTGGCCTTTCCACCTCCACAGGCCAAATGATTCAAGAGTAGGTAAGGAGCCATCTTGGTCTTTTCAGAGAGCTAACACAAAGTAAATGACTAGTTTTATTGCTGCATCTACAGAAAACTTTACTTAGTGAACACTGATTAGAGGTTGTGTGGGTGTGGCCTTCGTAGAGGGACAAAGAATCTGCCCCAGGGAGCTTCTGCACATGTCAGAGTCAGCCCACCCACAGCAAGTCAGGCTAGCATGTGGTAAGACTGTGGCAGAGACCCAGAGAATCGTGCCCAGAGAATTCAGAGAAAGAGAGGGCATTTCTGAGAAAGAGCACGGGAAGGTCTTAAATCAGAAAGGGTTCAAGAAGAAAAAGGACAGCAATGGGCAGCCCAGAAAGAAGGGGTTTGCTCAAAGCCCATGTGTGAGACGAAGGGCAGAGCCAGCCCAAAGCTTGTCCCCAGCTTCCTCCATGTTGCAGCTGTGTGGAGAGTTACAACCAAGCTCACCACTCCCTGTCGCTGGGGGAGTCAGGCCTGAGAGCTGCCTGCCAAGTTCTCAATCATTTTCCCAACCTGAATCTGTGCCAAGTTAGAGCAACTTCTAAACTTCAGAGCTTCTACCCAGAAGTCCCCTGTGGTGAGCAGACCCAGTCACCCGTTCTGGTAACTCACCACAAGCTCTCGCAACAGATCCTTGACTTCTGTGAACCGTCAGTTTCTTATCTGTAATCTGAGGGGGTTGCCTTCCCTGGGATGGGTGTGGCTAAACAAAGATCCCAAGCACCAAAGGGTTTCTGGGATTCTGGAGCCCAAAGGGGAACATCAGTGGGCACCCATGAGTCGCCCCTATGACCATACCACTTCCAAATGCCTCCTTCAGGAGAACTGCATCCCAAAGTGAATGCCAGCCACCCCAAGCTGTGACCCAAGCTTCGGGAACTCTCTGCTCTGTGCCATCCTTGGCTTCTTCCCATGCTCATCTGTCATATAAACACATGGGCCTTGTTGGTCAAAACCATTCAATACAGTCATTTCCTGAGGCCAACCAAAATGGCCACCTGCCAACGACCATCTCTCCCTCTCACAAAACCCTGAGGGAAATCGCCACGCTGAGGCACCACACACACTTCACACTACCTTCAGTGGGGAGGGCTGGATTAATGGACAAGGTCTCATCTCTAACACCCTGCGAAACTGATTCCATGGTGTCCAAATTCCAGCTCCCCAGAATTAAGAAATTCAGGCTTTGTTTAAGGTGACAGACCTGCCCTGAGGACCCCACCCAAGAACTGTCATACCCATAATGTAATATTAACACGGAGCCTTGTAATTCTTACTTTACATAAAAGCTTCATTGTGTGCCATACCCAATCTCCGCAGGCTACCTGCACCGCATATTTTTATGAGCCTACATTTCAGCGCTCCGAGCCTACAATACACATAATTTTCAATTATGTTAGGGCAGCCCAGGATCACTGCCTATATAACATTACTGGATGGAGGAAATGAGACTCGGCCCCGCTGCCCAGAGAGAGCTAACCAAATCCAGATGGCGGAGAAAGGTCGCCCAGGCCCTGGCTTGCCGGGACTCCTCTGTGACAACCCGGCCTGTCCTTTGCGACGCAACTTGATCCCACAGAACAGCCAAGACCCCAAAAATCCATGTCCACCCTGTGGAGCTGAACTGACATGCAGGCATCCAAGGCTCCTTTTGGGGAAATAAGGATTATGTCAGGGTTTTTTAAAGGAAGTGATTAACCTCCTCCACAAGTGATGGGTATCCCAGCTTCCTTCATCTTCGACAATTGGTCCTTATTAATAGGGAAAATAAATAAATAAAGGGAAGAAAAAGGCTCCCCTACTGGAGCCTAGAGGGGAATCTTTTCCTTCCTGGAGACATAAAGCAGCAGGAACTTCTATTCTGTTGGGCCTGAAAGCAAGACCGAAAACAGAGAGGCAGCTCCGATTCACCAGTGGCCCGGACGCCAGGCCGCCTCTCCCCACAGTTAGCGTCGGCTTGGATCCTTTTAGGGAAGGGAAAATACGTTCCCACCATGCCACTATAAAAACAACACTGGGCTCCGGCTCTCTTCCTCCTAGGCCGCTCAATGTGGAAATTATGAATTGCCTACAAAAACATTCAACTTTTCAACAAACTGCAATCAAGTGGAGCTGTGGGAATTCCTGCATTGAAAACTGTTGAAATGGAGTCCACTTGCCTTTCCTTTTCTACAAATAATAACAACAATAAATAATAATGCCATCTTGAGTATTTCACTTGTCGTTTAATAACAACGTTCTGCCCATGGCCCATTAGGGTTTTCCCCCCAATTACATTTTGTGCAATGTCTCAGGGAACAAAAGTTAAGCTTTGGATCTGAGGGCAAAGTCTTAAAATATCTACACATACGGCCTAAAGAGACAGTTTCAAAGATGGTTAGAATAGTCAACAAAAAAGTAAACAGCTCATTCTCTTAATTTCTCCTCCTCCATCTCCCCGTTACACAGAAGCAGGTGACGGGGGGGTCTGTAGGCTGCAGTTCACCACCCATGACTCAGGATGGGTCCGGTGGCCTGAGGACCAGGCCACAGGTGTGTGGTTCCATCCTTCACTGGGTCTGAAGTCCAGAGGCCGAACGCGGCCGTGACCCCACAGGGAAGCACTCCTGAGGCCTAAAAGCCACCGCCTGGGACGGAATGATCACTGGCAGACTCCGGCTCTGGGGGAAGCTTGGAAAAGCATCTGAGCTCTTTGGTTGTGGGTTCCAGTCACAAGGTCTAACCACCTGACCACAACCTCCCTGAAATAATTACCCCTTCTTTCCAAAATGGAAGTTTGAAAATCCCTGAGCAATTCTGACTGGAAAAGGCCCACATGTTTTAGAGCTCTCACCCACTTCCCAGAGGCCCTGGCAGTGTGTCCCATGTCGCCAAGTCACCCCCAAATGCGGCCCAGGCAGATAGTCCTCAGGTGGTGAGGGAAGCATCCACATGCCTGGGTCCATGTTCTGGGTCCTGAGGTCCTCGCCGCATACCATTTCCACACGGAGGGAGGGAGGTCAGAACAGAGCCCACCTGGGCCGGCACGCCCCCCATCAGACAGCATTGGCTGGCTGCAGGCTCAGGAGAAAGGGGAGTTCAGGGCGGGCAGAGAGGTTCTGGAGGGCCAAGCAGACTGCTGGGTGGAGGTGCAATTCATCCCTTCTGGAAAACGAGGTTTTTCAGGAAGGCTGGCATGCAGGAAAAGGCTGATTTTTAAGTTTTCGCTTTCCTGCCTGGCAGATACTCGCCTTTACCAAAATCCAAACAACAAAGACCGCCTTTTCAATCCAAGCGCTTTCTCAGTAGGGTGCCTTTTCCTAGGAAAATTCATTTTACAAGAATTCCAATTAGTTGGATCCCATCCTCCTGATAGATTCTGACTGCTACGTCTTCCCAGCTCATGAGTGCCAGAGAGTTGTACACGTTGTGTTTCTTATAAAACAGAACTCGATACTCTGCCCAAGGCTCCAGACCACGGCCCCTGCCAGCCACGGTGGAGAATGTCCAAAGTCCCCATCTCCTCGAGGCGAACAGTCCCCACCCTCCATGTGCACATCCATCAGGGGCCCAGCCAAGAGCAGCCCACGGGGGGAAGAACCAGGGCCACACTGTTCCTGTCCCTGGACCTGACAGAGAGTCGGCAACCGGCAGCCACTCTCCTGAGAAGAACTTGGTGGGAAAAGAGAAGCACAAGCAAGATGCCAAGAGCACACACGTGTGTCAGGAGGCGCACCCCACTGGCCCCCCACTCACAGGTCGGCTAGAGCACAGCCCTGGCTGCCACGGCTGCCTCCTTCAGCACCTACTTTATTTCTCAGAAGTAAAAGATAGAAAATTCAGTCTTACAAACAAGTCATTTTGTCCCAGAGGGTCAGGGGATCCCAATTTATCCAGAATGATTAAAATGGCAAAAGTTGTGACTGTCCTATCCTGCCCCCCCAACTCATACAGGTACCAAGGTTGTCAGAAGTTAGTCTGGACCCCACATCCCTCATGACGAAACTTCCGAAGTCTTTTCAGAATCCTCCAATCCTCAGATGGGTCTGTTCCGTTTTCCTGCAGATGCAGAAGGTACAAAGAATCGTGCTGTTCTGTCCTAGACTAAGACACAGCCCAGGAGTGGATGTGTTTTCAAAGTCTACACAGACCGCAAGAGATGGGATCTATTTAAAGAGGTGCTGTCTGTTATAAAGTATCA